GAGCTCACTGAACCACCTCTAACCAGAAACTAGTATATATTTATCTTAAAACTTAGTTTTATAGTTTATTTTGAATTATACAATTTATTCTCTTTTATCACATCTTTTGTGGGTTTAAGTTCACTTAGATTGTTATTATTTTAATAATTGTTCTTATGACTCTATAAGTAGCCTTAGAGGTAGTCATTTGTTAGAATTCTGCCTACTGAATAAAGTTTGAGATTATTTGCCACCTACAGTTCCTGCAGTTTCTCTCTATTTCTCCCTCCTCCTTTCCCCCGCTTGTCCTACATCATAAGGTTCTGAAGATTTGTTTGAACATTGAAGCATTGCTTTCTTTTTAATGTTGCTAACCACCAATTTTAATAATATTAAGGCCTAGCTTTCAGTTTCTGCTACAGTTTTACAAAAGTCAGATAATTTTATTAATTTGTTTGTTTCCATTCTCAGATGGCACCAAAGCAGAAGATTAGAATCAAACTTAGATCTTATTGGGTTCCCCTGATAGAGGATTCATGCAAGCAGATAATGGATGCAGCAAAAGTACCAATGCAAAAACCATGGGTCCTGTACCATTGCCAACTAAGAAACGAATCTACTGTGTTCTTAAATCTCCGCATGTGAACAAGGATGCCCGGTTCCATTTTGAGATAAGAACCCATCAGCGTCTCATTGATATTCTATATCCTACTGCCCAAACAATAGATTCTTTGATGCAACTTGATCTTCCTGCTGGTGTTGATGTGGAGGTCAAACTTTAAGGATATCTGCTTCTGGAAGTTGTTGATCATATTGCACTCTAGGTGAGCTTCATTCATCTACTCATTGTTAGAAATTATGCATCATTGCTGTAATTGGAAAATAAAATAACCCCTTTTGTTTTTCCTTTCTGCCTGCTTTGGCACGGACATTTCTATGCATATACAATTATTTTTATTTCTGGTATAATGAGCAATGGTGTCCTATGCTAGTGCTCACAAGGTTACTTTGTCAATATGAAAGCTGATTGCAGCGTTCCCCTCTATCCTTACTTTGAAATGAAGCTACGATAGTATAGTCAGACCTTCTGATTCTTTTATAAACAAAATTGTGCAGCCTTCTAGTCCAGATTTGAGCCAAATTGGGCTCCAATTACGGGGAAGCTCTCTTAACATAATCTTTTTCTTATCCAGAAGGTTTGAATTTGAAATCTTGCTTGAAGTGTTTGAGTCTTCTACCACCCAATCCAATCAAGCTTGGCAAGTATCAGCTGCGGTTTTAGATTATGACCTGTCCCAATCATCCATGCCTGATTTCCCCCTGTTGAACTCTATTTATGTAATGTTGTAGAAAGGTTATTCATTAAACATCAATAAAATTTAATCTTACCTTTGGCTGAAATGTTTTCAATCCCTTATTGCCTGGACCTGTTAATGTGGTTTTGTATGCATTTCATTGCTTTCTGACCTCTAGTAAAAGGGTTGATTTCATATAGTTTTGCTTCACTCCTTTAAATATCCACCTTTTGCTGTGAAACAAGTCTTAGAATATTCTTGTACACTGAGCGAGTCTGTTTTATTCTAACTTAAAGCTTTGGTCATAAGCCCACATAACCGTCTTCGTCAATTATGGCATTCTTTGCTGATATTTTTACATTTGATGACAATCTATCTTATTGACTTTCTGGCCATTATTGATTTTTTTTTCTCCTTTTCCTTGCATATTTATATTCTCTAAAGGAGTTTAACTTTTCATGGGAACACTTTTTTTGGCAGAGAAGAGGACATCCTTTCCAAATTAGGTTAAGTTTAACTGCAGGAACATGTGTGTTGAGCAGTATAAAAATTCGTAGATCATCCACATCAACGGCGAAGCATAATGAGAAGTCGAGTGGAATATTGATTTTGAATGAAACCACCTCGGCAATACTCTTTTCCGTTTTCATTCGTTATGTATATTTTCAGTGATTCTCCTTCAGTTGTATTAGTTATATGTCATTGAAGTTTAGTGTATTATGTTGATGGTGAGCTAAATGTGAGGCATACAAGTGCATGTGCTCTCTGCTGTTTATGAATACCATTTTAGTTTTCCAGGTTCTACTGGTAGCTCCAGCTGGATTCACCGATGAAGTACTTGCATTAATCCCAATGAAGTCATAGATTAGAGTTTAGAGGCTTGTTCCCCCCCCCCCCTTTTTTTTAATGCCCCATGTGGAATTTATGTATCCTCCGGATGGGATGATCCTATGTTTCTGTTGTTGAATTACAGTTCACACCGTATGAACAGTAACATCTCATTCACATTGATGGATAACACAACCCAGGCGACTATATTGGCAACAAATTTGTCACAACTAGGGACTGTGGCGAATAGTGCATAAAAGAAAATCAATTTTGAATTGAATCCCCCTCAAAATTTTGGGGAGAATCGTGGGATGTTTTTTTTTTAAAAAAAAGAAAATGATATGGCTAGTATGTGAATCAAAACAGGAAAGACAAGATACTAAGAAGGAATTTTATCTTACTAAGTGAGGTTGGCTATATAAATCATAACTTGTTATTGTATTCTATTAACAATCCAAGTCTTTAGATGGGTTGTTATTTAGAAAGTCTTGTTTAATAATCTCATTGAGCATATGTCTCAATTTTTTTCTATTTTTTTTAAATGACTTTAATATGTTTGATCTATCTTTTTCACTGACGTCTTCCGTGGCTTTTTTAACTTTGAACTGCCTCAAATCGTGTTCAATCATTTTGCTCTTATGTTTTGAATCATATCTTTTTTTTATGACTATAAATCTATTTCAACCTTATCTTCATTTCTGCTATTCTAATTTTATGCTCTGCCCCACCCCTCCCCCCTGAGCCTAATATTCATACAGCTCGCCTTATATGTCTCCGATAAGCCGCAATCAATCATGCACCCAGATCCAAGAGCATACCCTCACTGTTCATTGTTCAGTCAAACTTAAGACAGCTAAGGCTTTGTTTGGTTCAATGGAGGGGAGGGGAGGGGAGGTTAATTAAAGGAAGGGGAGGGGAGGGAAGAGAGGTCATGGGTTTTGTTTGGTTGGAGGGAAGGGGAGGGGAGGGGAGATTTCTTGTTTGGTTCAGAAGGGAAGGGGAGGGGAGGGGATTATAAATTGACAAATATGCCCTTATCTCTATATTTAGATTGATTTATTCTTTTATTACAATATTTATATCAAAATTATTATTTTCTAATTTATCAATTTCAAAAAAACCAATTACCTCACTTATATGTGATAAAAAATTATGATAAAACTAAAAAAAATTAGAAAATATTATATAATTATAAAAGACACAAGCTATAATATCTATATATTATATAATTATAATACACACTATGATATATAATTATAATAGACACGAGCTATAATATGTATATATTATATAATTATAACATACCACCCTCTATTAATATATACTCGTCATATCATATTACAAAAAAAAATTGCTGTCATGATAGAAATATTATATTATCATTATCAAATATCATTAGTTCATTACATAATTGGCAACATTAATGTCACCCAACATCAAAAATCACCAAATGGTCAGTAAACTAAATATTTCCTAAGTGATTCATAACAGGCAACATTAAAGTCACATAAATAGTCAGCAAACTATAAATTTTCTAAGCCATTTATAATTGGTAACATCAACATCACTTAACATCAAAAGTTTCCAAATGATTAGCAAACTAATTTCCTAAATCATTCATAATTTCCATAAGCAAATCCTTGCGCCCAACAAGGGGACATTCAACAAATGTCCTTAGTAGCCCATCATCACCCATAAGAGCTTTATAGATCTTGGCAATATAGGTTGTTGAAACGCCACAGTCTTTAATCATATTCCATACTTCTTCACCCGAAACTTGTGGAATCTTTCTAGCACTTTCTCTAATAGCTTGTGCAATTTCAGGCATGACATCCTTAATCTCACTTAATTCGGAGTCTTTTTCCTTATTTGAATTCACCTTTTGCTTCTTTTTAGATGAAGCACTTGAAACTCCAAGTGAGTTATCTTGATTGACACTGTTATCAAGTATTTCAAAATGCTCCATATTAATATTATGTTGGGAAGCAACATCTTCAATGTTGTTGCCTGTATCAAGAAATTCCTCTTCATTAATTGAATGACGTCTCTTTCGCATCTCACCTATAGTATGAGTTCCCTCCCCTGATGCTCTATTATTTCCATACAAGATGATCATCTTGTTATAATTGGGAAAGGGAATATCTCTCCAATTTGCAGCTTTAGGCTTTGACTACAAAAGAAAAAATTTAAATAATAGTCAATATTAATGAATAAATAGAGGGTTTAGATGTTAAAAATTCTCCACAATAAATAACATAAACTGACCTCAATAAGTTGATCCCACACTTCATCTTCTGCCTCCCATAATTGGGTTGATGGGTTCCAAGCAAACCCACTTAAACCATTTTTAAAAATATCATAAATTTCAGAGAAGTTCTTTTTTAAAGTTTTCCACCTGTTCTTAATCTTCTCCTTGTCCATTTCAATATCAAGTAAAGCACTCATCTCTTTCACAATGTTCTCATACGCAGTGGTTGTGAACGTGCCATTTACTTTATTGCCACAGTTATATTGTTCCATGAACGCGTCAACAAGATAATCATCCATCGCTCTTGTCCAATTCAAATATTGCTTATTGTTGTTCGGTTTGGGCGGCATTCTATTATCAAAATAATAAAACAATACGACAAACAAAAGTTATTACATTACATAAAAAATTTAAAAGCAATAAGTCTCAAACTTCAAATACAATCCATAAAAGTCTAACTACAAAATTATTACAATACAACCAAATTTAAAAGTAACAAGTCTCAAACTTCAAATACAATACATAAAAGTTGAACTTCAAAATTATTACAATACAACCAAATTTAAAAACAACAAGTCTCAAATATCAAATACAATACAACCAAATAGACATGAAACAACAAGTACATCAAAGCACAAGTTTTAAACTGATTAGGGTACATTGCCACCACGTCCCATTAGCCTATTTTGATAATCTATCCACATCTCATTTGCTATAGTATCTCTAATCAACTGTCCCCGAGCAGCCTCCTCATTGTCACCACGTCGATCACGAATATTATCATTAGACTCAGATTGAGTTGCAAGTTCATGATCTACTTCTTCTATGAGATCCTCATTAGGATCTATACTCATTAAATAGTTATGAAGAATACAACATGCTCCAATAATAAGAGTTTGAGCTTTCACTCCATAAGTAGGCTCAGCTGAATTGGCTAAAATGTCAAATCTTTTTTTCAAAACACCAAAAGCCCTTTCAATTGCATTGCGTAATGATGAATGTCGCAAATTGAACAATTCTTTATAATTTTGGGGTGGATTTCTTTCTGAAAACTCTTTCAAATGATAACGGACTCCTCTGTAGGGTGTAATGAGTCCACTAGTTAGCATGAAACCAGCATCCACAAGGTAGTATTTACCTTCAGGAATTTTCAGCTTATCCTCTCGTGTTAATGCATTTTTCATAATTCTAGAGTCAGATGCTGTGCCTTCCCATCCGGTGAGCACATAGGTGAATTTTAAATCAAATGAGCAAGCTGCTAACACATTCTGTGTTGGGAATTCTTTCCTACCACGATATCGAGGAGCATCTTTAACAGATACCTTCACACGTATGTGTGTTCCATCTATGGCGCCAATACAATCCTTAAAAAAAGGATAAAACCTCTCATTTAACCCCCCCTCTCTTTCTAGCAAGACACATAATGTTAGGAAAGCATTAGAAGTCATGCGAATGATATTGCGACTCTTTTCATTGGTGCTTAATTGGCTCATTATTTCTTCACGCACCCTTTCCCTTTCTGAACTCATACTATAACTTATTTTTCTCTTACGGCACCTCCTCCGAATAACAAGATAGACAAAAACACATGTGAGTAGTGCTATAGCTTTTTGACGCAAATCCAACCATCGACGCAAGGCTAAATTGATTTGAGATCTCCATTCCATCTAATAAACCATATAGACATGTATCCAATTAATACTAGATCACTTGAGACATGACAAATAGATTTAACATATTTAATCAGCACTATTTGACAAATAAATTATATCTATAAATCAAAAACCAAAAGGCAAATGCGTGAGAAGCATATTTTAATCAGCACTATTCGAAAAGCAGAAACTATATCTAGGCAATAGCTCAACTCAAACAAAGCAGAAACTATATTTTAATCAGCACTGGCTTCCACTGCTCGAGAAGCATCTTTAGAAAAAGAGAAGCATCATCAATCATGGACACAACAATTGGTCTGAGAAAAAAGCATTTCTTACAACACGACAGAAAAAACTCAAGAAACAGATTGAATTCAGATTTGCATTGAAGCAGAGATGCACACTACTTTTTCCCTCCTGCATCAAGTCTCCCTTTAAAGAAGCATAGACATCAAAAGGAATTCAAATAATTGATCCATGTGTCCACCCAAACACGACGTATCAAGAGCATTTTAAATTAAGATACATATTCTTTTACACCAGGAAGCAAATCTGATCCATACTTTGTAATTATGGGAAACATTATTTTCTTGAAGTTATACACGTGTTCTTAATATAAGCAAATGACATCAACTTATTGTTGACAGCTGTAACCTAACCTGAAGCTAACTAAATCAATTTGACCCCAAAAAAAAAAAAAATAATTCTCACCCTCATAGAAAGAATCCCTTGTATGTATGACAATCCCAATCACCAACGCACCATTTAAACCCCATTTAGTAGAAAGGGAATTACACGTGGAACTGGTATAAATATTACTACTTGTTAACTAGAAATAAGACAGAAGAAGAAAGGGTTAATATGTTAAATATGGAACTCGTAGAATCCCTTGGAAGCAGGATTTGACGGAGCGGTGCCCAGAAGCAGAGCCGCCGCACATGGCTTACCAAATCACTTCGGCCCCACCACCCCCTCGCCATGGTGTTATCACATCTCATTTTCTGCCCCCTTTCCACTTCACCATGCTCCTAAGCCTATCAACACACTTGATCGGCGTATGAAATTTATATAATATAACATTGATTCAATAACAAGATCCAAATGCTTCCAACACAATCGATCAATACTATAATATTATTTAACATTAAAAAATAAAATCATCAAAGTTGGAGGGATATTGGTATATGACGTAGAAAAATAAAATCATCATAAAAGACAATGCTACAAAAAGACACAAATATAATTTAACCATCCATAGCTATCTTATAGGGCAAAAGTGAAGTGCGCCGTAGGTAGTAGTGACCAAGGTGTGCCTGAAGCGGAGACGAGGAGCGAAGAAATGAGGGATAGAATCTTTGGAGGAAGCAGAGATGGACAAAGGAAGGTTTTGCCTGCGAAGATGCTTGAGAAAGAAAGGAGAAAGGGTTTCGCCTGCGAAGAAAGGAAGAGACGCAGCGTGAAAGAAAGGAGAAAATGTTTGAGGGGTAAACTTGGAATATTAAAAAATTAACATGGATATTTTTGTCCATACGAAACATAATATTTCTCTCCCCTCCAAAAAACCCCAAATTTGGAGGGGAGCAGAAAGAAGGGAGGGAAGCACTAAAAGACAAATTTTTTCCATCCCATCCCCTCTATTTTTTTCAACCAAACACACTGATCCCCTCCCCTCTCTCCTCCCCTCCCCTCAAAAACCCTCCAACCAAACACTGCGTAAAGGAAATATAAATAACAAATATCGAGTGACAGACGTCACCATGGCGGGAAATGAATGTAATAGCATCACCATCCATATATCTCTATGAAATATAAGAATTGAAGCAAGCCGTAATATTTGTAAATTATTGATAAATTATGATAATCTCATTGTTGTTAACACTCAACATAATGTACAAGGCACACATCTAGCTGTCTGACAAAAAGTGATTCTGCACCATCAAACATCAAAATTGCTAAACTATGCTCTGCTTTTGATTCCCACACGACCTTCCCCATCAGGGCACTAAGTTTGCTAACAGGAGAACGAAGATTCTCACTTGAACAAACAATTATTGCCTTATGGTTGAAGATTAGCGGCTAATTAAATAACATAGTCAGACCACTCAGAAAAATGTGAAGTATGATCCATAGTGAAACTTGGAATCTTGTCCAGCCTTGCAGGATTGGTCTTTCCTCCTAACAATCTAGCTGGGTTTCCAACTGCAGTAGTCATTGAAGGCACATCCTTCAGAACCATAGAACCAGCACCAATCTTAGCACCTTCACCAATCTTTATGTTGCCCAGAATGCAAGTGCTTGCACCTATAAGAACTCCATCGCCAATCTTGGGATGTCTATCTCCAGAAGCTTTCCCAGTTCCTCCCAATGTCACATTATGCAGAATTGAAACATTGTTGCCTATTACTGCAGTTTCTCCTACTACCAAACCTGTTGCGTGATCAAGCAAGATGCCTCTTCCAATTTTTGCACCTGGATGGATGTCGACAGCGAATACTTCAGAAACTCTGTTCTGAATCAGAAGTGCCAATGTTTTTCTTCCCTCAGACCACAATTGGTGAGCAATTCTGTGAGCTTGGATTGCCAGAAAGCCTTTGAAGTTCAGAAAGCAGTGGACATAGCTTATGCAGGCCGGGTCACGCTTTTTCACTGCCCTCAGATCATGCTTTACAGCTTCCACGATTTCTTCGTTTTCATTGAGGATTGAAACGAAGAGATCGATTAGGGTTCCGCTGGGAAGACAGGAACTGCTCAATTTGAGGGAGAGATGGTTGGCCAGAGCAGTTTCCAGCGATTGGTGACACAGAATCGAAGCGTGGTAATAGGAAGAAAGAATCGGCTCTCGTTCTACATCTAACCTTGCTTCCTCCAGCATCTTCGCCCAGAGATCATCATCTTCTCCCTCGTGGACAAATTCCTCCATAACAGAACAATCAGACAAGGTAGCCCTACAGAATTTGGCAAAGTGGAAGGAGTGATCGGTGGAGCGTCGCATGTTTAGATTCCGAGAAAGTGAGTCGGATCCGCATATGCCAACCCTTGAAGCGCCTAAACACTCACAAGCAGCCATTGGAGTGAATCAGAGAGAATGAGTTCTTGTGGGAATTGGAAGAAGGCGAAGAGAGAATATTGAGTGGGGACTTGGAAGTGGTGTGTTCTAGACTCCTCCTTATATATGCGAGCGGGAGAGAGCAGCATCATCGAGGCAAGGCGTGCTGCGCAAGAGAGGTGCAGATTCAGTGCTCCTCTTGATTTGACTTCAAAACAACATATCTATGTCACGCATGACATCACCTTCCTTCGCGGAATACAAGATTAATCAACACATGATTCTTTAAAGCCTCCACCGGCTTCTTGGAACCAGCTGTGGAGTAACGGTGCTATGGTGCTAAAGGCAGTTATGAACACCAAAAAGGGCCTCATTATTGCGAACTGAAAAGAGATTATGTGAAGATAAACATCAAGTACTTAAATTAGATAACTCAAAAAATTATTTAAATTAAAGATAATAAATATATAAAAATGTACTCCCTCCGTTCCTTATTATAAGAGACATTTGGTGCTTATAGCATGTTCCTATATATAAGAGACACTTAAAAGTTGTCTTTACTTTTTTGTGTTGATTTCCCATTTTACCCATATTTATTGTCTCCAACTCACACTCTCTCTCCTTCCCACTTCTCTTTTTTTTAATAAATTACCATTGTTCTCCCTCATGTTCTCTCTCCTTATTAATGAGGGTATTTTTGGAAAAAAAATTATACTTTTTACATATTAATTGTTTTTAACTAATTTTAACTGTTTTTCTGATCAACGTAATTCGGTTATTCGTCTCTTATAATAAGGAACGGAGGGAGTAATTAATTTTCTTTTAAAACACGAGATATGCAGGAGAGAGAATGAGGGCCAAAAAGAAGAAAGAAAATAAGTGAAGAAAAGACATGAGGGAGACATATAATTAATTAAGGATAAAAATAAAAATAAATGATTAAATGATTAGAATATCTTCAAAGTTTTGATGCTTGTATTTTAAACCGGAGTAAGTACTAATTTGTATAATTCAAATTAAGTTTTTCTTTTATTTTGAATTCTCTTTCAAAAAATTATATGAATGGGTATAAAATCTAAAACAAAAATAATATTTTAAATTTCAATTTTTTTTAAAAAAATTTTATTTAAGAACGAAGAAAATTTTTTAAAAAATGCTTCTGAAATTTTAAAATCACCAATCAAGAATAACTGCAAAAATATATAATTTTGGGAAAATTACACTCAGGTCCCACAGAGCACAATTAATATCAAAAAGGTCCCTCGAAATCGCGAAATGATTCTGAAGTCCCCAGGGACCTGTGTGTAATTAATTCTAATTGTGAAATTACGTAGTTACCCCTGTTAATTTGAATCTATTTACAACCTCAACAGTAGCTGTTAACAACCCGAGAAGAGGTGGTTAACAACCTCAACAACGCCCCTGGCATTCTACAAAGTGAGTTGTCATGAGCACTGCCGAGATTGTCAATCACGTCTTCTCGAGTTGTTAATAGCCACTGTTGATATTGTAAACGAATTGCTGCAATAAAATTAGAACCTATTTACAACCTCAACAGTGGCTGTTAACAACCTGAGAAGAGGTGGTTAACAACCTCAACAATGCCCCTGGTATTCCATAGAGTGAGTTGTCATGAGCACTGCCGAGGTTGTCAATCACGTCTTTTCGGGTTGTTAACAGCCACTGTTGAGATTGTGAACGAATTGCTGCAATAAAATTAACAGGGGTAAGTAGGTAATTTCACAATTAGAATTAATTACACACAGGTCCCTAAGGACTTCAGAATCATTTCGCGATTTCGAGGGACCTTTATGATATTAATTGTGCTCTGTGGGACCTGAGTGTAATTTTCCCTATAATTTTTAGTAAAATGTAGTAGACAAAATAATTTGAAAATTTGAAGTTTAAAGGTATTTTTTTTGGGAGATTCTCCCTAAAAATTATTTAAAAATTTAAATTTAGATTGTTGAGACTATATTTGAACGGTACCGGTCTCATCGTAGCAATGTGTTCATAATTAAAAGAGTTAAGATACATTTAGTATCTTGAAATATTTTTTTTAAGTGCATCCAGCATCTCAAAATATTTTGTAGTGCACTAGCACTCTGAAATAGTTTTTAGGTACATCCAACACTATGAAGTATTTTTTTTGTCTTAATGCTGAATACACTAAAAAATACTTTTAGATACTAGATGCATCTAAAAAGAAATACTTTGAGGTCTGACACACCTCAAAAAATACTTCAGGATATTGGATACAGTACAAAATATCTTAAAGTACCAAATATAATTAAAAAAATATTTTAAAATACTGAATGTAGTTTAATTCTAATTAAAATGAGCATTGAAAGTAGTCTCCCGATACACTCACTACCTCTAAATATTTCGTATTACTCCAGAGTCCAAATCCAATTAGTCCATTTGTCGGTTCTTTTCACTTCTATGCAATCGCTCTCTCAAAAGGACTTTATTGACCCATATCACTGATGGCTATGGGCCCACTCATGACATTTATGTGGCGGTAAATTTAGGGGAAATAAAAATTAGGGATTTTCAGTTTATGTTTTCAAGATTCCATGTAAATAAAAGAAATAAAATTAATTTACCGTTCTTTATAATTTTAATTAATTGAATTCTTATAAGTTTTTCTTTTCATTAAGTTCTTATAGGCTCATCAATTATAGATGCTGGTTCCTTAACGAAAGTTAATGTAGATGTCACTAAACGACATGTAAATTGTTACAAAAAATGAAATAAAAAGAAGTTTTGTTCAGAAAGTAAAATGATGAAACAAAATTTATTGACATAATAAAGAAAATTATTTTGCTTATAATTGACTCCTTACATATCTATATATAATATGTAATTTGGTTAATTTTGATTTTATTTGGATGCATGTCACATAATCAATTTTGTATGCTGAATGAAAACCAT